CTCTATTTAGGTTTCACGTCTGGGAGTGTCCCCCCCCCCCGCTCGCTTAAATCAGAGGGGCTTTCTGGCCGAAGCTCGGTGTTCTGTGTTCAACTCGACTCACTGTTCATTGTTGGTCTTAGGACCTGCCTCAGTTACGTGTAAAATGCCCGATCTTCACGTGCTTGTCCCGGTCAGCAACTCTCAAGCCATACGGCCGCACAGCGGTAGGACCTTCAGGGTGGAGGGAAGCCTCAATTCCACGGCATCGAGCCAGAGAAGAGGCAATCCCTCAAAAGCCCCCTGGCTAGGAGCCCATACCCAGGGCTCTGGGGGGTAGCAAACAATTGCCCCCCCCAGCCGCTGGAGTTCGGATCGCGACCCTGGGAGCTCACCAGGGTCACGTCCGCCATTGTGCTGCCAAAAACCGGAAGTCTCTCCGAGATCTGATCTGATGGGGTTAGGCTGGCCTGGGCCAACCGGGTTGGACTGTCTTCAGTATACACAGTATACACATTGTGTTTTTTTGGGGGGGATATAAAATATTTTGAGACAAGGTTTTGCTCGCTTAAAATGTGTGGAATAAAGTTCTTAATATAAGACAATTTACAGTGTTAGGTGAAGATAATTCTTTAGGTAAAGAATTAAAGAATGCTTGTCTTTATGCTTTCAGTCACTGCCAGTTTCCTGTGTCTGCACCACTGCCAGTACAATGCAGAGGCCCACAACAGGGGTCTGGTCAGATCAGTACGTGATCAGCTTGAAAAGTATAAATAAAACAATAAAACTACTGCATGGAGTACTAAGACCAGCAGAAAAGACTTAATATGTGCCGTTATAATCCAATGTTTCAAAATTCTTGCACACATTTATTGATTGATTTGATTTCTATCCCACCCTCCCTGCTGAGGCGGGCTCAGGGCAGCTTACAACATTCATAAAAACATACAGTTAAAACATCAGCAAACATAACTTAAAATTAATCATTTCACAATAGAGGGGGTCATTTATCTGAAGACCCATCTGTTTTTGATTGGGCATGTTGTTATACAAAATTTTGTTTCATTACAAGTAATTTCTTCAGAAAAGTATGGAAGGAGGAGGGAAGTGTGAAAATTCCAAGGGAATTTATTAAAATCAGTGTAATATATTGGGAACATTTATCATTATATTAAAAAGGTAAAGGTTCCCTTGCTCGAAAGCCAGTCGAATCCAACTCTAGGGTTGCGGTGCTCATCTCCGTTTCAAAGCCGAAGAGCCAGCGCTGTCCGAAGACGTTTCCGTGGTCATGTGGCCGGCATGACTAAACACCAAGGCGCACGGAACGCTGTTACCTTCCCACTGAAGTGGTCCCTATTTATCTACTTGCAATATCTTGCTTTTGAACTACTAGGTTGGCAGGAGCTGGAACTAGAGACAGGAGCTCACCCTGTCTTGCGGCACCCGGGTCTTGAACCGCTGAACTACTGACCTTCCACAGCCTGCAGTTCAGCGTCTTAACCACTTGAGCCACCGCAGCTCCATCATTATATTACATTATATTAGGGAGAGTATAATAATGCATGTTCAACTGTCTCAGCCTCTTCCATTTGACAAGGGCAAATCTGTTGGGAATAAGGAATGTGAAGATATCTGCCTTCTAGAAAAGCTGAGGGCAAGGCATTGAAGCATGCCAAAGTGAAGGTTCTCCAGTACTTAGGAATCTCCAAGGCAGTGCAATAGTCTGCCGGTAAAAAATCCTCAGTATACTGTGTTGCAGTAGGGTGCTGCTGCAAACAGATCCTATTGGATTGAAGGGCCAGGTCCCAGATCTGTTGCTCAATTTTATTTTATTTTTTGGTTTTCTGGAAGCTGGATGATAACAAAAGGGTGTGGTCTCTACTTTGTTTCCAATATCATTCTTCCTGTTTTTGCCTAGTTCCTTTTATTATCAATCTTCTTTCATTGTCATGTTGAGTAGTTCTTCTGTCTGTTTTTCTTTCTATGACTTGTAAAAGTAGTATCCAATATAATATGCTTTTAGATATCTTTTTGCAACGGTGGGGTTTGGAATATTGTCTGTAGAGGTAACAGCAGAGTCTGTTGAACCTTAAAGGCTAATGGGGGTTGTAATGTGGCCTAAACCATTTCCATTTTGAGTTGGAAAAGGTATATAGGGCAGGTGAGGAGTATTACGACAAGAAGGGAGATGGTCTGGGGTATTGGTTCTTACTGATAGCATTTCACTTGTTCCGAATGTACAAGATGAAAACTTTTTGGGGACTCCTGTAAAAACCAATTTCCAAGATTTTATTTTGTTTAATGTCTTTAATGGTAATATGCTATTTAAGAATTTGGTGTTTTCACTGTTGCAAAGTTTGGTTTCATATCCAAACATGCTGGTAGTCCTACCTATTGTGTCTCTTGGAGAGTTTCTGTCCGAACAATGATCTTTATTTTGTTTACTACAGAATTCGTTTTTTCCCTTCAACTTCTTGCACCTTTCTCTCAGATGTCAACAGATACATGAGCTTTGGTAGTTTGTAACTCTCAAATATTAGGCATACTTGCAGGGTTTCTTATGGAAATCAAGGGTGTTTATACTTTTCAGTTTCATAAATATGCCAATAAAACAAAGTTTAAGTCCAGTGGCACCTTTAAGACCAACAAAATTTAATTCTGGGTCTAAGTGTTTGTGTGCATGCACACTTCTTCCGATCTCTTTGTATGCATTTGAAGAAGTGTGGATGTACACAAAAGCTTATTCCCAGAACAAAACTTTGTTGATCTTAAAGGTGCCCCTGGACTCAAACTTTGTTCTGTTGCTTCAGACCAACACGGCTACCTTCCTGAATCCCTAATATTGACAAGCTAAGAAACTGCTGTAATTTTAAAGTTACTAAATATAAAGATTGCCAGCAGCTGATTGGTCCTTTGGTAGTTATATCTGGCAAAATAGCTTTCATGTGCTGTCTCCTTTGGCCATCTCTGTAGCACTTAGAAAGTCACCGCTGGCCTTTTGGGAATGCCACTATATTGGGGCGGGGGGGCGGGACCTTCATTAGTAAGAAGGTATTGCTAATATAAATTCATCAGGGAGAAGGAGGGGAATGATTTAATGCTTGGAGGGCTCTGAGCAGGAGACAGTTCATTGTTAGGCATAACAAATATGACATGGCGGACCACCTGGAATTATGGGAAATAAAGGTCAGGAATAAAGAGGCAAACAGCTTTAATGTCATTTGGAAGCCGAAGGCCATAAAAGAGTCAGATTTGAGTGTACTTAGAGACACCAACCCGATTTTTGAGGTATCCGCTTTTGAGAGCCAAAGCTCCCTTTGTCAGATATCTGGTTGACTCTGGAAAGCTTATGCCTCAAAACTCGGTGTCTCTAAGGTGCGACTGGATTCAAATCTGGCTCTCCTGCTGCAGACCAACACGGCTGTCCTCTGAAGCTAGGGAGGAGGGAAACCTGGTGAGGGTGCATGAGAAGTACTGCAGCTATTGCTGTGCATGATATTACTTGGCTCTCTGCCAGTTCCAGGGCTCTGAGAACTGGGCTGTCTGCTCTAATCCCCTCAAACCACTCAACTGCTGCCAACTCCATTCATTTAACTGGGACATGTCCCCTTGTTTGAGCAGTCCAGCCATAGACTGGCTCGCTCTCTTTCCTAGGCCCCTGGCCTTCCGGTTGTCATGCCAGCTTTTCCTTTAGAAGTTCAGGGGACATCTGAAACAGAAAGAATGCAGTCAGATATTGCCAAAAGTGTTTGAACGGAATTGAACAAGCAGTAGAATAGTATCTGGAAAGTAAATGAAAGAAATCTCTATCCTTATATTTTCCTAGGACCTGAAACATATTACCTAAAACTTCAGCGACTTCAAAATGTTACTTACAGTTGCTGACTTTTCTCAGGAGTGGGACTTGTAAGTTACTGGCATGCTCAGATGATTGTGTGCATGAATGCTGCTTAAAGAGCTTAGCACATCTCAAGGTAGAGGCAGGAGAAAGGCTGGTCTTGGCATGAGTAGAAAGTGCCTCGTGCCAGAGCAATGGGCTCCCTTGCCAATGGAGGACCATGTGCTGAGCAAGTGAGAAGGAAAGGTATGTTGTCCTAGGCTTTCAGCACCTTGAAGGCCGTTTTAACGGAAAGGTGGGATATAAATTATTTCAATTGAGTGGGCAGTCAGTAGAGAATGGGACTAAAGAGCCATTTTGCTTGGTTTTGTAAAGGTAGATAATTTTCTCCAGCCTGGTTTGAGTAGAGAGCGTGGTCAAACTACACAGAACCCAACTGTAACGATTTCATGTTTATTTGTGTGTGTGAAAAGAGTGACATTTAGTTCTGTGTTATAGGAGTTAAAATTAAAAGCTGAGAGTCTAGGAAAAAGTACAGTGAAAAGTGTTACAAAGTTGAAATATCCCTGTCAGTGGAGAGTGGCTTCTGAGAGACACCAAGCCATGGTTCAAATCATTCCCAGTTCTGTTTACATTGTTTGCTCTCGTGTTGATGCTTTCTTTAAATAAATCCTATTTCCTTCAAGTATACCAGCTCAGCAAATAATCCTTCCTCAGACCACATCGACCTTCATGAATGCCTAGACCCATGGTACACCTACCCAGTGATAGAAATATATATTATAGTAAGAGGTTGGAAAGCCTTAAAATTCCTGGTGGCAGCCGGATACCCAAAGAAAAATAAACTAAAAGGGACACTTTAAAGTAAAACCAGACCTCCACAGAAAAGGGGTCGTCACACCAACATTCACAGTTCCCATGTTGTTGTTTTGAAAAAGAGGATGGGTGTGGTAAGAGCACATAAATCAGTCAGTAATATATACACAGCGTTCTGAGCGCCTCAGCGTTTAGTCATGCCGGCCACATGATCATGGAAACGTCTTTGGACAGTGCTGGATCTTTGGCTTGGGAATGGAGATGAGCACCACCCTCTAGAGTCAGATTCGACTAGCTTTTGAGCAAGGGAAACCTGTACCTTACTTTTAATATATTCCTGACCAGTTTTCTTGTTTCCGTAGGATCACTAAAGTAGTGCTATGAATGGTGAATCTGGAGCAGAGGTGGTAACTTCACCACCTCCCACAGCTCCTCATAAAGAGAGGTATTTCGATCGAGTTGATGAAAACAATCCGGAGTACCTGCGTGAGAGGAACATGGCTCCTGACCTTCGCCAGGATTTCAATATGATGGAGCAAAAGAAGAGAGTCTCCATGATTCTTCAGAGCCCTGTAAGAGTCATCATCCCATCTGGTTTTGCTTGGTGATGGAAATGTAATACAGCCTAGCTAGCAGAGTTCCGTGAATAGTAATGATTTTTTAAAAACTACATAGCAAAAGAGTATTTTATGAGAAAGACCTGCATCAGGAATGGCAATAATGTCGATGTTTGTTTCATAACTCTCAGTCTGGGGCAAGGGATGCTCTGTATTCTTGGTGCTTGGGAGGGGGGGCAACAGTGGGAGGGCTTCTAGTGTCCTGGCCCCACTGCTGGACCTCCTGATGGCACCAGGTATCTTTGGCCACTGTGTGTCAGAGTGTTGGACTAGATGGGCCATTGGCCTGATCCAACATTGGCTTCTCTTATGTTCTCTTATGTTCTTATAAAACACACGTCCAAACAGGCAGCCTTAAATTGGATGGCAGGATCCAGAATCTTAAGGTGTGTGTAAACACCTGAATTGCAAACCCTGGTGTCCCAGATTTGATTTTCCCCATTGCATCTCCTTGTACTCCATTGGGGATGCTTTAGCAGCTTCCCTAAGTTTCAGGAGCAGGTTGGTGTCTTGCTTTTGGAAGGGGGTGGAGTAGTGATTATTTAGTAGCCCTATGTGTATTTGATGTAGAAGCTTCCTGCACAGTCTTCTGGATCCCAGCTGGGACCCTTGTTGCTGAAACAAGGGTTTGAAAATGTCTAGAGAATTCCATTCAGGTACCATCCTGATGTCTCGTTTTCAGTTGCTCTGTAATGCAGGGCTGCTTTAGACAATGACTGTTTTCCTGCACAGAGATAATTTCTGTGTAAGAAATTATAGGTTATACTGCAGCCTGTGACAAATGCACAGCTGTTGCTTTTATGTACTGCCACACAAATGCTTGGCCAGATAGAAAAATAAGTTTGTTGTATGCTAATCACCATTTATGATTTTGTTTTATACAAGTGATCTGTGAAGAAAAATCACTTTTGCATGAAGTAGTCTTCAGTAGTCTTATTGCTGTTCCTTGGTTTACTTTCCTTTGCTGTATTACAAGCCAATAAAATAAGACTCTTCTCCCTACAAAATGCTTGCGTAAGAGGCACAGTATGTTAGCTTTTCTATGTGTCTTCTTCCTATCAAGTCTCTAATTTGGGCAGTGCACCTAAAGGACAGCAGTTGGCTCGATAATGATTGTCAGCTGCTTCTGAGGGTGGGGGAGGGAAGCTTTAAGTTATGTTTCTTGTTTGGCAGTATTGTGCTAACCATTGTAATATTCTATTAGGCCTTTTGTGAAGAATTGGAATCCATGATCCAGGAGCAGTTCAAGAAAGGAAAGAACCCGACAGGCTTATTGGCTTTGCAACAGATTGCAGACTTCATGACGACAAACGTGCCAAATGTCTACCCCGCAGCACCACAAGGGGGAATGGCGGCCTTGAATATGAGTGAGTTGCAGCTCCTCCTTTGGGAATGGGTAGGGGCTGCTGCAGCTGGCACATTCAGGAAGAGCTCTTTCCCATAATTCAGCCAGCATATTGGCAAGCTTGTTAAGTAGCAAGTGAAATTACAATTGTAGGAAGAACTTTCCAAAACTTGCTTTAACTAAGATCTTTACCACATTTCCTAAATTATACTATGGGATAATGCCGTTAATTAACGAGAGTGATGGTTCTAATGCATGTTGTATTCCTCAGTTTTATCCATGAGGAATGTTCTTTCTGAAACGATTCTGTTTCAGACACAGCAAATCCCTGGGCTTTAGTTTTCCTGCCTGAACCACAATTGCATCGATCTCTGGGGTCAGAACCAGTTCAGCTGACAGATTCTTTTTTATGTGTATTTTTGTGGTTATGCACTAGTCTTGAACAAGCATTGCAGATTCTCTGTCATAAACAGACAAATGAGAAAATAGAAAACATAATTTCCCCTGGGTGGGTTCTTCGTCCCACTTGCCCATGCTAATTAGAAAAGTCTTTAACAAAAATCACTGTTCTGGTCCTGTATGCTTCACAGTTAGGCTCCTCTCCTCTTCATCCTCTTTTACCTGTTTTCTCTGGTCTCCTATCTCCATCTGCCTTCTGCTCCTTTCTTCCCCTTATTTGGTATCTTATCACTCTGAGAGAAGAAAAAGGACAGAGAAGATTTCTTTATCTTTGGGAGTTTGGGAGCCACAGAGTTAGATCCAGATGCTGTCTTCCACTAACAGCAGACATTTATGTCAGTGGAACAGACCTTGTCTCTGACTCTCTCTGCCTGAAACAGGATCGGAGACCCTCTGGAATGGCAGATGGGGGGCAAAGTGGGGGTCTGTAGCAGGAAGGGGGAACTGGCAGTGGAAAATTTAGTCTGGATCCAGCCCAGCCTGTGGAAGTAAGATTGCCACGGTGGCCTCTAAGGCTTGCCCATCCCGTTGCACGCAAGAAAGAGCAGGTTTGCTGGACCCAGTTGCCAAGAGCATCAGTGTTCTTTTACTGAACAGACCCCAGCCTAGTGGCCTCCAAAGGACAAAAGCCCATTGTTCCTACACAGAGCGATGGTTTGAGGCTGCCTTGTGAGAGCCTGCATGGCAGGACCTGCCTACTGGAGGCTTCCCCCCCCCCCCCGAGTCAGGCAGGCAGAGGTCACCACGGTGCTGGGAGAGAGACACCAAGAGCCATTTTGAGTCCCAGTTCCTGTTCTTTAACAGCATGCTTACCAGTATACACCTCAGTGCAGGTGACATCTCTTCAGGATCAAGGGCCCCCCTTCCCTCCCTACTACCAGTCATGGTGGAATGCAAAGGGCAGGGGAGTGCAGTTTGCCTGCTTGCCCACCAGAGGGCCTTCTCAACCTGCTTCAGTCCTGTCCTGTTCTCTTTCTCCTTGAGGCCAGTCTTTGGTGAATGGGTCTTCTAAGATCCATATAAATAATTTAGATTGGTACTGGAAAAAGGGCAAATATAAGAATCCCCTAACTCTTCGTCCAAGGTTTCATGGGCACTGGGCTGCACTCCCCACACCAGAACTCTCCTGTCCCTCCCAGAGCCAGGCTCTGAGCCTCCTTTACTTCTTATATAGCATGGGCAGTTGAGATGATTTATTCGTCTAATGATTGTGAGGCTGCCCCTTCCATACATGATCCTCTCACAGGCTCTTTTCCAGCCTGAATAAGGTAAAGGTTCCCTTGCTCGAAAGCCAGTCGAATCCGACTGTAGGGTTGTGGTGCTCATCGCTGTTGCCAAGCCGAAGAGCCAGCGCTGTCCGAAGACGTTTCCATGGTCATGTGGCCGGCATGACTAAACACCAAGGCGCACGGAACGCTGTTACCTTCCCACCGAAGTGGTACCTATTTATCTACTTGCAATTTCATGCTTTCGAACTGCTAGGTTGGCAGGAGCTGGAACTAGAGACTGGAGCTCACTCCGTCATGCGGCACTGGGGTCTCGAACTGCTGTACTACTGACCTTCCACAGCTTGCTGTTCAGCGTCTTAACCACTTGAGCCACCACAGCGCCTGAATGCAGTGCCCTTAATTTCCAAACCTCTGACAGTCTTGATGCTAGGAGAAAACTTGGAGCCTCAGCCTTCTCCCAAAGAAGGAACTATCTAAGATAATCTGCATCACCTGTTTCCTTTTGTTCCCAGAAACGTTTACTCAAACTACCAAGAAAGATGCTGGAAGAATTTATTTATTTATTTATTTGAAGCATGAGAGGCATGGTCACAGACTCTTTGTGATTCAAGGGTAGAGAGAGCCACATTAAAGATATGACCAACCTTTATATAATGGAGAAAATCTCAGATACGCTGAAACAAAATCTATCTAGAGGTGGTCACAGTGACATTGTATGTATATGGTACCCCATACTTGTACATCTATCTACCAAAGAAACAGTACCTGATGTAATAAATACTCTGCATCTGGTAATTTTCAAACTGTATAATACCGACAAACTGTATGAAATGTATGAAGCCATTGAGAGCTGACTATGCTCATGCTTACCTTGTAAATCTTTGCTGCTTATGAAAAAGAATAAAAATTACCTTTTTTTCCTTTTTAAAAAAAAGATATGACCAGATGCTTTACCGGTTTGTGTTTTCTGGCAAACCTGGATACTTCACAATTCTGTTCTACCATCTCACATGGCTTGGAGTCTGATTCAGATCTTCCTGGCAGAACTTGTCTCCCAGCAAAGAGAGGCTACCGAAACCCATTCAGATTTTGTTTAATTCTAATTTCTTATATCCTGCTTTTCTCCCCAGTACTCCATGCCACTGTGTCCCTACAGGACAAGATAGCCAGTTTCTGCGGCCTTTTTCAAATAATGGTGCCATCTGCAGTCACTCTGCTGGTGGCTTCAGCACCCCAGTTTGTCGGAGAGTGTTTTGCCTCAGATATGAATGAATGAATTTTATTGTAACAGCGATTAGCCAGCAATATAAAACCAGAAAAAATAAATTACAATGGCCAAATAGTAAAATTTCCAAAATTCAGCAAGGTAAAAGGTGCTAACAATATAAACTTTACATTTGTTAAAACCAAACTAAGAGTGCGCTGCCATAAAACACAGTATAGTATAAAAGAATAAAACATATTACCAAAGGGAATGGTACGAGTTAAAATCAACAGTCCTAACCCGAGTGCCAACCATCATGCTGATGCGCTTCTACCACCAAGGAACAAAATTTCGCAATCTGATAGAGCGCTGTGTGTTCAAGGTTAAGAAACAAGTTCTCCACCTTGTCCTGATCTGAAGTGCCTGCCAGAAGGGGATTAATAAGTTTAGTACGAGCCTCTTCAAATACCGGGCATCTTAGGAACACATGTTCCTGAGATTCAATCTCCCCCAACGCACACAAGCATAGCCTCTCTGTTCGGGGTATTTTTTTAAATTTACCCTCAAGAACTGCAGAGGGTAAGGCCGAGCATCTGGCCAGAGTATATGCCCTCCTAAGTTTACGTGACTCCAAAACGTTAAGATATGGGGCCTGCGCAACCATGTATTTAATTCTAATTGGCGCTATAAATGTTGGGGACACCTGTAGATCTAATTGACGTTCGGTATCCTTAATCCTCTGTCTTATTTCTAACTTAGCTCGGTCCCTACCCATCTCCAAAAGCGCTAAGGGAGAATACCCCAAGAGCGAGATTTTCCGCTTAACAGAAATCAGCCAATTAGATTCAAAGGCATCAGACAGAATCAGGGGCACTAGTCCACATGGGTTCAAATTGATCTTCAGCCAATAGAAGATGGAGTATAAGGCAATCATGGCTTCAACCTTCAGCATGCCAGTCTCTAGCCGTACCATTGCGTTGGATACGCATCTCGGAACTTGGAGCACTGCTCTCAAAAATTTCGATTGGACTAGCTCCAAAGGAGCATAGCTAGATGGAGGCGCTCCAAGCAGCGTTCCGTAGAGCATCTGGGCAAGTGTTTTGGCCTTGTAAAGTTTTAAAGCTGGTGGTACAAAATAGCCCCCTTGGGAGCTAAAAAACTTAAGAATGCCATGAGAGGATTTTTCACCCGAGCAAGCAGCTGCCTTTTTGCCTCAGATAGATGCCCTGTCTCCTCCTCATCACCAAACTCAGCATATCACAGTAGGAGGGCCATTTCAAGGATGTGTGGTTCAAGAGCTTTGGACAGTGTGGGAAGCTCCCACATCACAACTGACTGAAGCTGAGTGCAGGCTTTCCAGCATCTGGGCATGGACAACATGGCTGTCAAAGGGGCATGTGTTCCTTCCAACTCCAGAAGGAGGCTGTGGCACTGCTTTGTTGGATATAAACCATCCCGTCTTCCATCTCAGCCCTTCTCATACCTAAATTAAAGATACACGTGCTATGGTAGGGTGCAGCAGCAGTGTTTTTCTCAAGTATTGTGTGAACGTACCATTTTTCTTATATAGAAAGCAAGGATGTTTATACTAGGGGTGTGCAAGGGGAAAATAATAGTTTTTTTTCGGATTCGGATATATTGAACCTGAATTTTTTCGAGAATACCGAAAACCCCCGAATACCAATACCAGTATTGTATAGATATCCGAAAATTTTCAGTATTTCCGAAAAAAATTGGTCCATTATATTCTATGGGGCCATTGTAGTCAACGGCAAAAATCTTCTAACAAGTTTTCAGGGGGCTGGGTGGGAGGGGGTTTGAGATAGAGGCACCAAATTTGAACTGTAGCTGCTGGAGCCTCTCCCCAAACAAAACCCCAAAGTTTTGAAAATATTGGACCAGAGGGTCCAATTCCAGGGGCATCCAAAGAGGGTGCCCCCAATTCTCCATTTTTTCCTATGGGGATGGGAAAAGGACAGGCAGCAAGAATCTCTAAGTAAGTGAGGTGTGCTGGTGTGAGGGGGCATGTTTGCCAGGCCGACAGCAGCAGAACCTGTACAGTGTGCCCCCTAGAACCAGTGCCACTGTGGCAGTCAGTGCCCAAACCCAACTGGACTCAGGTCAGACCAG